TTGTTTGTTTTTTAATCTTTACAGAAAGAACCCTGGTGGCAAAATAGTTAAGTGCTAGGCTGCTAACAGAAAGGTTGGTGATTCTAATCCACCAGCTGCGGGAGAAAAGACCTGGCACACACTCTGCTCCTGTAAAGATTACACAGTAGGAAATCTTATGGGGCAGTTCAACTCTGTACTAATGGGTTGCTATGAGTTGGAATCCACGCAATGACACACAGCGACAAGAATTTTTACAGGAGCAGATCGCTACATCTTTTCTCCCACGGAGTGGCTAGTAGGTTCCAACCACCGACCTTTTGGTTAGCAGCTGAGCACTTAACCATTGCACCACCAGGGCTCCTTTTATAGTGATATAAATATCTGATTTTTTAAAATAATAGCACCTCTCAGACACTATCCATTTTCATACTCAATTTACCCTAACTTTACTCTGCTTTCATCTTTGTGATTTAAGGTATCTTCTTGTATCTACACCCTATTTTCTAAGTCTTCCAATACCTTTTACCAAAAGCAGCATGAATCCAAGTGGATTCCACATAGTTGCTGTGTTTAACAGTATACAGTGAACTTATTTAAGGACCTTGAACAGTTTAGCTACAGAAGTTGAATTGTTTTAAACTATACTTCAATTTACACTCTACGAAATTTCAAATATTCTGAGTAACAAAAAGTTTCTTCCTTTATTCAATTTTAAAATGACTTACATTTAAACCTAAAACCATAATGAGAATACTTAGCCTCTGATGATACAAAAAGAGGTTTGGGACCTCAGGGAAATTGTTACAAATATCATTTCTCATTATACTGCAAAAACAAGAGAGTTTCAATGGTTAATAGGAGATGGCACATGAACTTTACTATAAAATAGTTTAGAGTCAACCATGCACAAAACTACCAAAATATAAATCAGCTGCATACAAATAACCTGAAACTAAACCTAAAATTCAGGATCATGGGCCACACTCCAGGATTCTGATATCATTGGTGCAGTGTGATGGGTCACTTTTATATGGCCTTTCTAGCCATGGTCTTTTAACTCCCACCAAAAGATTGAGTGGGACTATGCAAATAAAGTGCTTGTGGCCCACAAAGGGGATTGAACAGCTTGCTAATAATGCAAATAAGATGCATGGTACCCTTGTGGGGGTGGGACCATGCAAATAAGATGTAAGGAACCCTAATGAAAGGATTGGTTAGTCTAGTCATCCTGCTAGGCTTAAAATGAGCCATCCCAGAGGTGGAAAGGAGAGGACCTCACTACCACCAAGAAAAAAAAAAAGGCTGGTACTGAAGCACATCCTCTGGACTTGGGATCCCTGAGCTGAGAACCTCCTAGACTCAGGAGACAGAGAGCGCTGTAACACCTGAAGCAATGAGAAGCAGCAGCAGAGACATGGCAGTAGCAGAGGCAGAAGAACCAGGATACAAGCAAGAGACGATGCAGTTGGCTTCTCAACACAAGGAGTGAGAAAGCTGAGAGCGTTCGGGCAGGAGGCTTGCTGGTGGAGTGGGGTGCCACTAGACACTTATAGGTAGAGCTGAAGAGCTTTGTAACACTTGCCTGAACAGAGCAGAGGCCTGGCTGAGGGGCCAAAGGCCAGACAGAGGCCTGCCTGGGGGCATGGCTGAGAAGAGGCTGTCTTGATCGAAGAACTGAATCCTGAATGTAACTTGTTACTTCTTTAATAAACCCCATAATTGTGAGTATGGTATGTGAGTTCTGTGTGGCCATTGCAATGAATTATCAAACCCAGCAGAGGAGTAGAGAGTGTGGTGGGACAGATTGCTGGTGTCAGAATTGGTAAAAAGATTGGAGAGGAGGTATGTCTGACCTCTGCCTCATGGCAATCAGCCTTGGGCTGTTGATCTTGATTTGCCTTTCCCTTGTGAAATTAGATGAGGTCAGGTGCCCCCACCACGCGATCTTTACAGTTGGTGTCAGGAGTGGGACTTGTTGCAATGGCTCTAGACTCATGGAAGTATGGGACTTAGGAAGAGAAAGAACAAAGGGGCATGAGAAGTGAAACTCATGATGCTTAGATGGTTCCTTTGGTTGTTGTTATCTGTAATGGCTGAAAGGAAAGTAAGAGATGTTATGCTGCAGCTGAGGAGAAAAAAGCCACATCTGGAATGGCTTGGGGTAACAGCCAGGCTGGTTAAACAAGATGCTTGACAGGGGCCCAGGGTGTTCTGGTCCCACCTAGCCAGAGGCCCAAGGCCTTATGCATATGAATTAGAAGGTAAGCAAGGTGTGGAGAAGAAAAGATAAGCTGGAATGTTTTAAAAGGGTTATGTGTTTATTTGACTGTACTATGAATACTAAGTGTTTCTTCTACCTAGGGTTTGTAAAACAGACCTAAATGTATGATGGAAATGAATATTGAGTATTCTAGATTACAAAGAGCATATTACTCTGCCTTCAGTCAATACTTGATTGGATATGCTAAAACGGGAACTAGGGTTTGCCCAAAAGAAATACAGGCTATTGGTTTGAATGCAGTAGCCTTGTGTACAGAGTACTGGTGGCTTAGTTCAAAAACCTGAGCCCTACCCAGGACCTTTGGAATCAAGAAATTTGCATTTGAAAATACATGCAGACCCACTCAGAACTACTGGGAGAGCAAGAAATTTGCATTTGAAGGAAGGACCTGCAGGAAAAAAAATAACTGTTTTGCTTTTTGAATATCAAGCAAGCAGTTTGCCATTGGATGCATTGAGGCAGGAAAAGTCAGTGCCCACCCATTAGAAGAACCTCTTTCTAGGGCTGGAAGTTAAAGGGTGCTGGCGAGTAGACAGCCTGGTATGTTTGCTTGAGGTGACCACCTGGGGCCATGAGATGAGTGGAACAAGGGGAGGTTCAGCAATGCACTTTTTAGAATAATTTAATTTAATTTTATGATATTGCTGTCAAATATGTTATTTTCTAGTCTCACCTCTCTCCCCACAATAAAAATACTAACACTATGTTTAGTTTGGGAGTCCCTCGTTGGCACAAATGGTTAAGTGCTCCATTACTAACTACAAATGGTTAGTGGTTTGAACTCACCCAGAGGTGCCTCGGAAGACAAGCCTGACAATCTGCTTCTGAAAGATCACAGCCTTGAAAACCTTACAAAGCAGTTCTACTCTGCACACATGGGGTCACCATGAATTGGAATGGACTCTATAGAAACTAACAACATGTTTAGTTTAAAAAATGAGTTATTGCCATCTGGCAGTTGTGCACACTTTATTGAGGTAGTTTGTGTTTGATCAACTAAGCCAGCAACAGTAAAGTGATCCTTCATTTATGTGACTAAATAAGAACATGAACTTTGTTAGCTACATGCTGCGAGCAGATCTAATGTCACCCCGAAAGAGAAAGTTTCAGAGTGGAACAAAGAGGATTCATTGAAAGAGCTTAAGAAGGCATGATTCCTGAGCCAGGTTCCACTTGTGTTCTGCTGTTCAGTGAACCAAGTGATGCTCAATTAGTGCTTTTGTTAAATGAGTTTAGGATTTACCTCATTTGCATGTGGAAGAATTTACACTGATGCTTAATGAAGCTGCAACTAGGTCAGAGTTGAGAAATAGATGGAAATGTATGGATGACTGCACCAACAGTGTCTCAATTAATTGTTGGCTACGTTTTAATGAAACATGCGGTAACTCATTTGCACCTACGAATCTACAGATACTCTATTGGATTTTGGCTAGAAAATAGAGGAGATGCAAAGACAGCTTCTGAACACCTCTTATTTTGACATGCCCGCCTAACTGTAACTATCTGTTATTGAACCCAATATTCAGGGAAAATAACACCTTGTCTTATGCACGTAAAAATATGAAAATGAGAGCCACTGATTTACTGCCTCTGATTTCGAGCAAAAAATACAAGACCCAAAAAAGTACTTCTTATTTGTCTTCTTTTAACAACTAAGCTGTAAAGGATCTTCTACTATTTTAGGAGATGTTGATTCCTCACCTGATGCTTTGGTTCTTAACAATTCTGATGGTTTACTTGGTTCTCCAATCCCAATGCTGTTGCCAGCAACAACACGGAATTCATACTCCACCCAAGGGCTCAAACCAACCACTGTTGCATTGTATGTTTTACCATTCAGGATTTCTGGAACTGAAAAGAGCGGGATACTTAAGACACCTAAATTGGCACTAGTTGAAAACAATCAAACCAACTAACTAACCATCTGTTTTAGAAAATTATCCCAAAACACAAGAATCACTTACCTGTAGAAGCAGCCTGCCAACCCAAAGAAAATGCTGTTCGAGTCTGAATAGTAAATATTTGAATGGGACTGTTATTATCTGGGCCTGGTTTCCAGCTGAGTTGAGAAGTACTACTGGAAATGTGTTCCACTCTCACATCCTCTGGGGGACCTGGGGGACCTTGGAAAAGATGTTTTATGATATTAACCAAACCAAACCTATAGGTGTTGAGTTGATTCCAACTCATAGCAACCCTATAGGACAGAGTAGAACTGCCCCGTAGGGTTTCCAAGGAGCAGCTGGTGGATTTGAATTGCTGACCTTTTGGTTAGTAGCTATAGCTCTTAACCATTGTGCCACCAGGGCTCCACTGTTGAGGTTATTAAATTCAATGACTTGGGTACGGATAGTTTATTTTTATCTGTTACACTTAGAAAATAGTGAACATGACATATTTGTATCACGTTATTAGAGATAAAGTCCTGTTAATTGAGCTTACATGGTGAGAGATTAATTTAGAAATATTTCCTTTGAAGATTAGAAAATGCCAGTCATGAGGTGGTTTAATATCATGCAATGGAGAGCTAATCTCAAAAACTAAGAACCGTTCTCTCTCCTTGCGCTCTCAAAGGCTAACTTAATAAGTAAATGCAACCCATATGGAGAACTATAAGAGCTTGTGGATTCAAAAGCTTCCTCGACAGAAATGATTTATTATAAATAGAAGACAAGTCTAAGTTTTAGGGACTGACATCACCTACCTAGACTGACCATTCCATATAAATAGACAAAACCTGTGCAATTCAGTGTCCATATGCATATTACCTATACCCTGGAGTCTTGGAGTTTAGGGAAAAAGTCTGTAAGATTTCCTGTCACTTCCCTATCATGATATGATCCCTGAATGAACTAGCATTTAGATATCGGAATTTTTGCCTGTGAATACTCCATGTGATCATTTCCCTCAGCCATTTTTGCTTACCTCTAACAATGATGTCAGCTACAGCAGATAAAATTTCTAGAGTTGTTTGTACAGTGCACATGTATTTTCCTGAATGGTTTAACTGAATATTCCTTATCATCAAATCTCCAACAGATTCCTGCAGATATTAAGGAGAAAAGAGATAAAAAACATAACCTCAC